CCTCCCCCCAATTTTTTTTCATGGTCAATTCTTTTTACTCCACCCACTTTTCATGCCTTATTATAGGGCTGTTGTTGGAAACGCCCTCAATGTGATATGTTGTATTGGATTCTACTGTCTACTACATACAATCCGAATTTTAAGAAGACTAATCATTTCACTGGTTAATTTATAAAACTCGAGAGAAAAAAATCTATCGCCGCCAATTTGTACTAGAGTTTTCTATTTAGTGTCATATTAAAAAGGATATAAATTATCTCTATCTTTCACACGAAACATGTTTTCGCCCACCTTTATATGTAAAGCAACAATTGAACTGAGTACAAGGCCAAATGATACAAGATGACGAGCAGCCCTAAAACAATGCCGATCCCATGATAACCGGATCACGCAGGACTCACGAAAATACAATATCGAAAGAGAGCCTAGGAAAAACTGAGTACAACGTCACGCTAACCCCCTATAATACCTAAGTTCCACAACATTGCCTCGAGGGGGAGAACAGCGCTAAGAGTCACCGCAGCCGAGTCTCAATGGACAAAGGTTTTCACCCTGAACCCCAACACGAGGAGGAGAACCACGACAATGTCTTCAAGAAGAGAGCGGCGTCCGTGAGCGTCGGCGACAAAGCACAGAGCTTTCACTTGGCAGCTCCCCCATACCACCACGAGCTCTTCAGGCCAAGCGCAACGAGTTTATGTCTTCAGATCCGAATCAAGGAGACGCCATTGCCAGTGATAGAGAGCATGCCCGAGCAACTTGCCGCTCCACCTCTTGCCACCCACACGACAAGGAGGGAAAACCAACACCGCCGCCATGGTGCCCACCATAGAACTAACCCTATGGTCCGCCATCCGGACAAATTCACTTTATGAACCAGGGCAAATTCATTTTCATGGACAATGGCAAATTTCTTTTCTTTATGTACCATGACAAAAAAAATGTGGACCTTGGCAAAATCAGTTAATGGACCATGACAAATGCACTTCAGCAAGCATAGCAAATCCACTTTATATACCATGCCAAATTCACTTCAATGAGCATGGCAAATTCACTTTTTGGGTGATGGAAATTTCTTTTCTTTACATACCATAAAAAATCATTTCTTTTATGGAACTTGGCAAATTCAGTTGTACTTACCATAGCACAATCACTTAATGGACCAAGCCAAATTTCTTTTTCTTTATGTATCATATCATGTCAATTTTCTTTCTTTGTATGGACCACGGCAAATTCACTACATGGAACACGGCAAATTTCATTTCATAGGCCATGGCAAATTCACTTTTTATGGAACCATGGAAAATGTCTATTTCTTAAAAACATAGCAATTTTTATAATGTTCATAAACTTACCATGTTTTTTTACAGAAACAAAATTCCTAAATTTGTTTTGTATCCTTGACAATTTTCTAAATTTTGCCATATTTTCAAATAAACAAAGTTCCTAACATTTGCCATGCGCCCATTACAAATTCTCAAAATTTTACCATGTTTTATTAGTCAACATTTTTTCCTAAATTTGTCATGTGCAATTTTTATATAGGTAGCATGGCATGCATATTATTTTAGACAGTGGCAATTTTCATAAATTAGACCATGGTAGTTTTTTAATAGGTAAACGATGGCAGTTTCATATAATTATACAATGGTAATTGTTTTGTATGTACGATGGCAATTTTATTGTTTAGGAAATTGGACTTACCATGGCTTTTTTTTTACTTTAGCACACTTAACCATTATTTAACACAGTACGCAAGCGCTCATACAAACGCGCATACAATCACCCCTATGAATGTACACACTCACACTCTACCCCTATGAGCACTTTCGAGAAACTGAACCAACATATCATCTTGAGATTTTACGAAGCCACCGTAGGCGTCGGAACATCTCTGCTCACTGAACGTATATCGCTGGAAATTCTGAAATAAATCCAAGGTAAACACGAACACCAGGACTTGAACTCTGATGAGTTAGGGATACCACTGTCCTCCTAACCAATCAACCACAGGTTAGTTCACCACCTGACCATTTTATGCATGTGATTTTTATGTTGTGACAAAGAAAACATATAGTGCGCACATTTTATTATTAAGAGCATGTCATTTTTAATTTTTTTTAATGTCATGACAATTCTATTTTTCCCAGCATGGCAATTTTTTATACAGTATCGTTTTCAACTTGTTGTATCATTTATCATTAAAAAAGTATTAAAAATCTTTGGTGCCATATTTTTGTCATGTACAATTATTTATTTTTGTACTTGAGCAATAGCAATTTCATGTAGGGATAGTTTATAGTTATCGTGCAATTTACTGTAAATATTGTATTTTAGGAGTCACCAAAAGTTGCTACAGAAGCGTAGCAGAAAAAGGAGTCAGGCCCCACTCAGCTGAGCGATGAAGGATCCATTCATTCGCTCGGAGCGGTCTCTTGTGTGGAACGTTTTCATTCTCGCGGTTGGCTCGTTCTTAGCGATTTTCTTTGTTCCAAGTATTTCCAATAAATGATGTAGACAGATTTTCACATTTACTACGGCAAAACGATTCTTCAATAAATAATGTAGATGTAAATATTTTTCAGTCAACAGATAGGGCATGATCTAAATAGGCCACCAAGTTGTGCAAATTTGCATCCTTTTGCCCACCATCATGGACTGTCATATTATCCCTGCACGATGGCAGTTGACGAAACCCACCCACCGCACCTAGAGGTTGCACTAGTAGAAAAATGATCATTTGTTCCGGTTCGTGAGGCCTTTAGTCTCGGTTCTGGAACCGGGACTAAAGGGTCGGTACTAAAGGCCCTCCACGTGGCTGCTGTCTGGAGCTCCACCTTTAGTCCAACGGGACTAAATTATTTTTACTAATTTTTTATTAAAAAAATATAAAAAATCGATTTCAAATTTCTGAATTATTTTATAATCTTTAATCTCTAATCATCCCTCATCGCTGCTTAATTTAACCTCTAATCTCTAATCACCCCTCATTATTTCAAACCATCTAATTTCCCGACCGATCACCCATCCTCTCACTACTCCAGCCTGAGCACGCTTAAATTCCGGGTTCTAATCCCCCTCGTTTCCAAGTCCGCACTTATTGTTTTCTTGACAATAGTAAGATGTCAATCCTATTAACGCTCGGGAGTTTAGCTTGAGCATGAAGTCACACGTTTCACTGTTTGAGTTTGAACTATTATTCTAAAAAACAATAATTATTTATTAACACTAATATTTCTTGAGTAAGTAGTTTGACCATAGTTTGACCACTGTTTGACCAGATTTGACCAAATTCAAAAAATTGAATTAATTATTTAGTAACACTAATATTCTTGAATAATTATGTAGTAACACTAATGCTTCTAGAATAAGTAGTTTGACCATAGTTTGATTAGATTTAACCAAAATTAAAAAAAACTCAATTTTGAGCATAATTTTTTTTCTTTTACAATTTGAGGATTCTAAAAATCTGCAAACAGGCCGTTGGCTGTCAAAATCGGATGCGGATTTTCGTGCTGAACATTTTGATATATTATACGTTTTTTCCCGACATCGTATGCAAAAGTTATAGCCGTTTTACTTTTCATGACACTTTTTTTGCAAAACATGTCCAAATTTAAGTTTTTAAATTTTCCTAGTAGATATAGTAATATAACTACATCTCGAAGGATTTTATTTTTTGAAGTTTTTATCATTTTATTTTGTTTTTT